CTGTTAGAATTTAAATCTATACACATTAAAGTAATCAGAGTAACATGATCAAACCTGTGTAAACTGATGTAAATGACTAAGAAAATAGCATATTGATGTTTATTGTTACAAAACTAATATTGATGATTAAATTTGACTCCAACTCAGATACTTCAAGATTTTAAGCAAACACGTGTAGAAGTTTTATAAACCAACAGATCTATAATAAAAAATAATTATTTTATTCCACTAAATGTCCATATACTGTATTATCAGCAGAAAGTATCCCAACTATCTTGTATCCTTCATTTTTAATTGCTAAATTACGAATTTGTAAACATATTTTTTTCTATGCTTCCAAGTAAACTGTCTTAAATATGAATCATCCTGTGTTTGGTGCTGTAGTATAATCAGGCAATTAGAGCCTGATGATGGACATAACTCTTACACAAAGTGTTATTTTTATGGTTATTAAAAGTGTTTTGAAAACAGTTCAAAAACAGTGTCACAGCTGTTAAATATTCACTAAATCATATGCAAAAACGTTAAGACTTCAATCATCCACTCCAATATTTCAAGAGTTTTAAATGTAAGATTTAACTCGTGCAAAAGGAATATAATCTTCATTCTGACAGTTTATTTTATACAATGGAAAAAAAAAAGCTTTGACAGTCAGATTTCTTCATTTCATTTCTTTATAAATCAGCAAAGACACAGTTCTGTTTTTATATTGATTTGTTTTTCTTTTAGGCAAAATGTGCTGCTTAAATTTGCACTTATCTCAGCCAATAATCTAAATTTATTCTGCGTGGGAGGTTGCAGAGAACGAGAGTGTGTGTGAGTTAATGTGAGCATATGAGGACAAGAAGGACTTAAAATATATTTGTGAAAAATAAGTTTGGGAACTTCTCAGTACAGCWGCTTAAAAATGAATACAGTCACAATGCTGGTGGTTTAGTTTTGACTGATGTGTAAATTGGGGGAAAAATCCTGCAATTGCCATCATCAATCTATAGCRAGATGTTCACAATAAAAACAGGAAATGAATGTTTTAAAATGGGCATTAAAAAAAACAATAAAAAACCTTTAGTGTTTCTAAGAATGTTCTGCCTGTAGCAGTGCCTCTGGAGGTCCACCTTGTTTGCTCCAGTTTCTTCTGTCAGGCATGGATGCTTCAGTGCTGACAGGAAACAACCCGTTTAACTTCAGAGCAAACTGTCCCCTGAGCAAAAACAACTTTTTATTTTAATTGGCTTTGGTTCAAAGTGGTCCGGTCTGGCATTTGATGCCATAATCCAGAATTTCAGGATGTTTCAAAGCTTTTACATCTGGAGATACTTAAATCAAACCTCAACACATTTTGCTGTGTTTACAGCAAAAATTTGCCTGTTACATAATTTTTTTGTAATAAATATGAATGCATTTTTGGAAAGAGGACATTAATAGCATATTGCAAAAAATATTCCCATCGCTGAGCTGAATGGTTGTTGAGATATTCACGTTCAGCAACAGGAAGTGACAACAAAGGGGAGTGACAACGTGAACAGAGCTATTACAATGACAGACAACACAGTCTGTAGAGAAGAATCTGATGTTTCCTTTGATTAATTTGAGTCACTATTAAAGAGAGATGAAGAGTCAGAATTCAAATTATACTGTTTCAATAAACTAAGACCAGGGCGTTCCCTGTGCTTTCACTTTGGCTGAGCAGAGTTCAAAATAAAATACGACAGTTAAAAGTGTGCTGTTATACAAAATTTCTTAAATACAAAGATGCTTTCTTTGAATTTGAATAATGTCACAGGCCCTTTAAAAAACACTAATCTGTCATAACATTGTGACCAATAAAAGGTAAAGCAAGTAGCGTTACCCTTACAGTTGCATCTTTGTGTTACGCTGATAATACATTTATCCTGGCTTTCCCAAAGACACAAATCTGACAATTGTCAAATAATTAAGCAGTTTTCCTTATCTGAAATCACTTAATTTGACATTATTTCCTCACATAGTTGAAAATCACTTGAATGCAAGACAAATCCAGGGAAACTGCACTCCACAGTACGCAAAATATGGTTTTAAGTTCTCAGATACTCCAGAACAGCAACCTATCACCGATCATCTAGTTTAGATGAAAACTAACTTAAAAGTGGGCAAGTAGAAATAATGCTGTAGCTGATTAACTGAGTAACAACACAAAATAATTTGTTTGGAAACTACATTCACCGGATTGACAGAACAATCAATTACAGAAACTCCCTCCATCATCTTTGTTTAAGTGCATCATCATGACTTATGACAGGCTAATCAATTCAAACAGCTCATCTCTCAGTG